GCTTAGGAAAATTAGCTGTGACAAGAAGATTGATTATATGCGGGAAGTCAGGATAACAGAGTGGTTAAAATTCTAGCAATCTCATTTTAGAAAATCAGACAGAACCTTTCTTTCTATCTTTGTTTCAAAAATATGAAATGCATTTTGAAAAAATACAGGACATAAAAATTCATTCGTATTTTAATCACGTAACTTACCTCATCAACGAGACTTGATTCAAAATACTGATAGGCAGTACTAAGGGCAAGCTTTAGCCATATTTTATATTCCAGGGTTGGCCAGAAGACATCAAAGCCTTCATATAAATCCTCCAGGGAGATAAAGCAAGCCTGAAAAGACAAGGTACCAGGCCACAGCCAGCTTTATTTGGAACTAAATTAGAAGACCATCAGAAAACAAGATGCTTGTAGATTTAATCTTCATTTTACCTCTCAGAAAAACTATCAGTTCTAGCATAATCACGATACTCTGATATTTAAAAGACCTGTATTTTGGAAATGTTGTTTGCTATGTATAAGATTATAAAACTCATGGTCCAGTCAAAGTGATAGACTTAATAATAGGCCAGGAAAATTCATATCAGTCAACAAATATAATAAAGGATATGGCTCATGAGCCCAAGATTCAAGAACTAAGCCATACATACACACACACACACGCGCATGCATGCACGCATTACACACACACACACGCGCATGCATGCACGCATGCACACACACGAACAAAGCCATATAAATGTATCTATTTTTATCATCACAATAGGCAACGTGGGGTCATTCACAGTATTTGTTTCCAGAAGTGGACTGCTTACCTGGATAAGGAAGACTACCCTTTCTGAATTCAAGTTAAATGAACATCTATGAATCCAATTCAGCCTTGTGACTAAATTCATGCCTTCTATCCGGAAGAGTTTCCGGAAATGAGATGGTATGAAATTGATCAAACAACATCCCATTCTACTCCACATACCCCTAAGACTCTGGATCTGACTCTTTTGCATCCAACAGTCCCAAAAGATTGAGAATTCTCTATATCAGAAACTTTGGCTCATTTCTATATGAATTCCCCACACCGAGGGGACTGTCAGGCCCCTTATTTTGGGAATAGATAACTTCTTACTTAGCAAGTGAAAAATGAAAGAAAGGAATTAAAAACAAATACACTTTAAAAACACATCTCTCTCCTATTGGTGGCCATTTTTTGAGCACCTGTATGTCCCAGGCACTTTACACAGACATTTTCCTTATCCTCATAACATCAAAAGGTAGGTGTTCTCTCTACTTAATAGACCAGGACGTTAAGACTCAAGGAGTTTAAATAACTCGCTCCAGTTCCCACAGGCAGAACGCAGTGGTGCTTGGCAGAGCCTGGCATGCGAGACACTACGTCTGCCTTCTCTCAGCTAGTCTACCCTGCCTCGCCATAGCTGGCTAGGTGACTAAATAAGACACCAGAACCCAAAGGAGGAAAAAGTGCTGGCTTTCCTCATTCACTTGAGGAAAAATTGACTAATAACCTGTGACAGAATTATTTTCTTACCTGTAAAGTAGTTTCACAGATGACAGTATATTCAAATTCACGCTTAAGCAGGCAGTTCAGCTCTCCAATTATGTCCCCACTAGTACAGTACTCTGTACTTATGGTTTTGGACTCTCTATCAGGCCTTAGGTTTCTCTGTATCCCAAAGGTAGGAGGTGAACTATGCAACTGCAAAGAGAAATAAAAAACTAAAAACCCTTTGATCTAACCACAGGAGCTCCTGCTGTTGCTTGCAATGATTCCAATGGAAGGCAGAGATTCTTTATGAATCCGGACAGGTGTGAAGGAAGAATTAGGCTTCATGAATATCACAGTTTCTTTCACATTTCAACACCCCAGGGCAAAGATTTGTTTCTAATCTTTAGCCTTACAGATGACCCCTATTTACAACTTTCTACTTATACCTTTCTTATACAAAAATCCCACCAAAACTAGTAATTATAGTCTGCAACTACTGCAATTACCCACTCTGAGTGCACTTGATAGTCTGAACATAATGGGCTATTGCATGGGCGCATATATTACATATCATGAATTAAGCCAAGAATTCAGTAAAAGCCTCGTCTTCCTTTAGAATGCTTAAGAATAATTACCATGAGACATCGACAGAAAAAGTTTTAGGATGAACATAGGATGGTTAAGTTACTTCAGGAAGGGAACTGGTAGGCACGAGTGGAGAAAGAGACAGTCAGGGGGAAGCTGCAGAAATCAAGGAGAAGGATTTCAGAATTCCCCAAAAAGTTTAGCTGCAAACATCAAAGCAGAAGACTATTGTTCAGGACAAAGGTAACAGGGAGCAAAATGTCACTGAAGAGGTTGCTGTAAAAATTGCCCCCTCTTTTAAGGATTACCATTAAGATTTTCGAGGCATTCAGGCTTCCAAAGGATGTCAAATCTTTTTCAATGGCCATTTTTTTTAATGTTTATCTATTTATTATAAAGGATATTACAAAGGATACAGGCGGGGCCAGCCCATGGCTCACTTGGGAGAGTGTGGTGCTGATAACACCAAGGCCCCGGGTTCGGATCCCATATAGGGATGGCCGGTTTGCTCACTGGCTGAGCGTGGTGCTGACAACACCAAGTCAAGGGTTAAGATCCCCTTACCGGTCATCTTTTGAAAAACAAAAAAAAGGATACAGGTGAAGAGATGCATACGGTGAAGTATGGGAGAAGGGGCGCAGAGCTTCCAAGCTCTCCCTGGGCATGCCACCCTATAGGAAACTCCACGTGGTCAGCTATCCAGAAGGTCTCAGAACCCTGCACCTCTGGCTTTATTACATAGCCATCTGGCTTTATGGATGAAATCGTTGTCCACTGGTGATCAGCTTAACCTTCAGTCCCTCTCCCTTCCCTAGAGGACGAGGGGTGAGAATGAAAGTTCCAACCCTCTCATCACAAAGTTGGTTCCCCTGACAACCAGCCCCCATCCAAAAGCTACCTAGTGCTGCCCCCATAACCAACTCATTAGCATACAAAAAGGCAGCACTTCTGTCGAAATTTTTTAAAAGTTGTATGCCAGAAAAGCTGACCAAGACCAGGTATATACTGTATTTCAAAATATTACATGGTGATTGGCAGGATTTCATTCTTTTCAATGACCAAACAGTATTCCATTGTATATGCAAGTACATATCACATTTTCTTTTCCCATTTATCTGTTGATGAACATGGGTTCCATATATTGGCTATTGTGAATAGCGCTGCAATTGTTACAGAACTCAGAAGTCAAACAGTTGGTGTTAGAAAAGCAGATGTATTCAGCTGAAGGAGATGGTAGGCTGTCCCATCTCAAGGACTTAGATTTACTGAGGGGTTTTTAAAGGAGCGTTGAGGGAATGGAATGTGGAAGGTGAAAAGCAGGAGAGCAGGAGACATGAACTATGAGGAGTCCGTGTCTACGAGTCAGGTACAAGGTCTTGCCAAGGCTTCTTCTGGTTTCTGTTTACATCTTTGCTGTTATCTCAGGACCCTGCAAAATTTGTATTTGTTCCGGAGTAGAATCATCTTCTCTGCAGTGTTTTTGCGTAGTTTTGCTTCGCAGAGCTCTGGATGACCTGGCTGGTGCCCAAGGTCAGCTTCCAGTCATTTGGCCTTGGTCACTTCTCTCAAAGAAAGAACTGTTGTCTTTGCAAAGTACCGATTAGCTTCTCAGCCTTGTTTTCCCACTTATCAAACAAGATAAGAAAGTCAGGGGATGGGAAGAAAGAGTGAAGATACAAAAAAACTGTCTTTTTTAAAATACCGCCCCCCAACCCCTTTGCAGCCCAGTAGGTTTTAGGTCCCGATATGGCTTCAGTTCTGCTCACTCCAACACAATATGCATGTGGGTCCGATACTGCTTCAATATACTGATTTCCTGTTCTTTGAATATATACACAGTAGTAGGATAGCTGAATCAGTTTTATTTTTTGTTTTGTTTTTTTTTTTACATTCTAGGATGTTGTTGAGGAGCAGTTGGGCAGTAGGGAAGGAGGGGGGAAAGAGGAAGGAAATGGAATGGACGAAGGAGGAGGGGAGGGATTGAGGCCTGTGGCACCCCCTCATTCTCACAGGGGAGACCGGGGGCTTCCAGCAGTGGCTTGGTCATTGCCGGGCTGGGTGCAGATGTCAGGGGGTGTGGCTGAAGCCCTCACCCCCCACCACTCCAGCTCAGGAACTGGGGCCCTTCTTGCTAAGGCTTGGTGGTTCTTCCTGGGCTGGCTGCGCATGTGGGGTGGGGGGCAGTGCGTAGCTGAGGCATACCTCAGGAGAGCCTGGCACACTTCCTGTGGGCTGCCTAGTGGTTGCTGCTGGGCTGGTTGTGGGTGTTGGGGGGACATTGCTGAGGCCTCTGGACCTCCCCCTTTTCTGGCGTGGTAGGCCAGGGGACTTCCGGTCCTTCTAGGTGTTACAGGTATTCTTTGGTGAAATGAGACCTTTACTAGTCAATATCAAAGTTCGTCTCTGGTTATAAGTGCTTTGTTTTTTCTTTCAGTTTTGTGTTGGATTATTTGCTGTTCCTACCACTTAAATTCTGCACTGGAACTAATTTGTTGTCCTTTGCTTACTACTAAACCAGGGGAACTTCCTGTGGGGACCAGTACTTGAGCTCTGTGGTTGAGCTAAATTGCTGCTTTGCTGCTGTTTCCCTAGGAAAGGCTTTTTGTGCAGCTCAGCATTTAATGGTTGGCTTTAGAGGTACTTCCGGTTCTCATGCAACCCTGTGCACCTGAGTTGGGTAGAAACTCTGGTCTGGGCCTGAGTCTTTTCATCAAACTGCACCCCTTGTAATTCTATATTCCTGACCAGTCTTCTCTGAGTGGTCCTATGCTGGTTGGAGGGCAGATCAGCTGTCCTTGCTGTGCCCCAGTCTTCCCCCTGTGGGCCTGTCTCCCCCACTGCCTGTGATCCAAACACTTCCCATGGGACAGGCCATGCTTCCGTCCCTTGCAACAACTCACCGGCCTCTGAGTGGCTCCTTTTTTTCAGTTGTTCTGGCTCCTCACTCCTATGTGGGTCCATGGGAACCGTATCAGTGGTCTTGCTGTCCTGGGGGCCATCAAGGCTCTCTTCCCCCCTGCCACCTTCAAACAACTTCATCAAAAGGGCACAGCTGTGGCTTTTGCCAGCTCCTGCTCCATGCACTCAGCAGCTCCAGCCTGGAAGTAGCCGGGTCTCGAAACAGTCAGAATGGTTTTTTATTTCTCTCATCTTGGCTTCTCCTGCCTTCATACACTCCATAGGTCTCTCCTCCTCTTCCCCTGAGCTCTAGTGGCCCCAGCTTGGCTGTTGCTGCTTTTTTATAGTTGTAAGTTGGTTGATTTGTGGGAGAGAGTGGTGCTGGGAACTGTCTATTCCACCATCTTGGCCGTAAGATCTATTTTTAGTTTTCTGAGGAATCTCCAGTTGTTCTCCATAATGACTGTACTAATTTACATTCCCATCAACAGTGTATACAATTTTTCTTTTTTTCCCACCCTCACCAACATGTGTTATTCTTAGTGTTTTTTAAAAAACAATAGCCGTTCTAAGTGGGATGAGATGATATCTCATTGTGGTTTTGATTTGCATTTTCCTGATGATTAGTGACGTTGAGCATTTTTTCATATATCCTTTGATCATTTTTATGTTGTCTTATGACAAAATAATATTACGAATTTCTCAAGTCATTTGCCCAATTTTTTAATTGGATTTTTTTGTTGTTGTTTCTTTTGTTTTTTTGGCTGTTGAGTTGTATGTTCTTTGTGTATTCTGGATATTAATCCTTTGTCCAATGAATCGTTCCCAAATTTCTTCTCCATATTTTGGTAGGTTGTCTTTCTCTTCACGGTTGATTTTTTCCTTTGCTGTGCAGAAGCCTTTTAGTTTGATATAATCCTATTTGTCTATTTTTGCTTTTGTTGCCTGTGCTTTTGAGGTCTTTTCCCAGGCCAATGATCTGAAGTGTTTTTCCCTTAGGTTTTTGTCTAGTAGGAATACAGTTTTGGGTCTTACTTTTAAGTCTTTAATCTGTTTTGGAATTGAATTTTGTACATTGTGAGGGATAGTGGTGTCACTTTATTCTTCTGCATATGGACAATGAGTTTTTACAGAACCATTTATTGAAAAGACCGTCTTTTCCCCAGTGTATATTGGGGTGGTGGAGGAGTGGTTGGAGGTGAGTCAACCTAAACCTTGGCCTCACCTGTGTTCCTGTGGTTTTCTTCTATCTTGTCCACTCCCTAGCCTTGGGGCTACAGATTGCAAAAGCAGTTTCTGCCTTCCTCACTCTTTCCTCCCCTACAAGACTGGATCTCAGATCAGACATAGAGACCAGCTTGTCTGATCATAGGTCATAAGACCTCCATTCCAGAAAGGGTCCTGCCCCATACCCTGGAGGAATGAATGCTACACAGAGAGGCCAAGAAGAATCTAAATTGCCATAATTTTGAGAGCAGTTCAAAGGATCTTTGGGCAATAAAGAATGCCTCTGCTTATTGCAAACCAAGAAGAGAAGATGACATCTGTGGTAGGTGGCATCCTTAAGAAGTCCGCCCAAGATTCCTGTCTGTTATTCAATCAAACACTAATCTACATACTGCTATGAAGGGACTTTGCAAATGGAATTAAGATCACTCATCAGCTGGCCTTAAGGAGATAATTGGGTTATCCTGGTGGGCCTAATGTAATCATATGAGCCCTGGAAAGTAGAAGAGAAAGGCAGAAGAGTCCATCAGAGAGATCCAGCGATATGAGAAGGATTAGACATGGCTTTGCTGGTCCTGAAATGTGAGGACCTGCACGTAGGAACCAAAGAAAAGCAGGGCCTACTGTCCTATTGCCCTAAGGAACTGGATTCTGGCAACAACCTCAATGCACGTTGGAAATAGATTCTGCTCCCAGAGCTTCCAGAAGGGAATGCAGCCCTACTGACACCTTGATTTCAGCCTTGTGAGACTCAGAGAAACGAGCTGAGCCAGCCAGACTTCTGACCTACAGAACAGTAGAGATCATTTTGGTAAAGATAAATTTTTGATAATTTGCTATTTTGTAATATAACCTCTTTAGACCAAATATCAGTGGAGATTTTATATATATACACACATACATTTTTTTCCCCCTGCTGGCTGGCTGGTATGGGGGAACTTATATTTTAAGAAGGCTTAGCTAGTCCAGTCATTGCAGGAAAATTCCCCAAAGGAACATGTATGTTTCAGCTTTTAAGTATTTGATGTGACATATTTCGTATATACTGGTAGCAGTATATTTTTGTTAGGATTCTAATGGGAGTATAGCTTAAGCACATGGGCACTGGAGGCAGACTATATGGGTCCAAAGCCTTCTTTGTCCTCTTAGTATGTATAGCTGGAGCCAAGTGAATTAATTTCCCTGTACATCAGTTTTCTCATATAAAAAATGGGGTTGTTATAAGGATTAAATGTCATAACATATTATCTTTCTTGACTACTCTTTTAAAAATTACCACTGGCCACTTCATATATCCATCACCTCTAACATACTATATATTTAACTTATTTATTTTTTCCATTGTCCCCTCTCCTATCCCTCCACTAGGAAAAAAGCTCCAAGAAGGCAGGGACTTTTGTCTGTCTTGTCAATCCCATGCTTAGAATAGACTATACATGGTAGTAACGAAGTAAATATTTGTTAAATGAATGAGTGAATAAATGAATAAAAAGTGCTCAGAATAGTGCCAGATACTTCATAATTGTTATGTTGTGTTAGTATTATATTTATTATAATTGTTTATTTCTATGGTATTGTTAAGGTCTGAAATACCCATCATAAGAACAGAAAGCCAAATATATTATTTTCCCTGTAACAAGGCTTTGTCATTTATGACCATCACCTAGGATCTAGGAATTATTTGGGTCATACGCTGGGACACAACCACATATTCAGCTACTAAATTACTAGTATGCAGATGCAAAGGATTCTTGTCCCCATCAGCCCACAGAAATCCTTCTCTCTCCCTCACTGGTCAACAAAAGCCTCCCATTGGTCCAATTAACAGTTGTATTTTTTATCCTCATTCCGCCTGACCTCCATGAGCATCTAGCTTTGTAGCCCATTCCCTCATTCTTGAACTCCCATTTCCTTTAGGTGATGTAATTTAAACTACAACAAGTGTTGCTTTGAACATCCTGGTCTGATGTTCCATCCACGGTCTGAACATCCTGAAAAATACTGCTTCCCCCAGGATTGCTGTGAGGAATAAGTAATGACTATAAGAGTATTTTGTAAAACAGAAAGCATATTTCAGGTGTTGAGTATTATCATTACTTCTCAGCTGGAACACTCATTCTGAGCAGAAATGGTTTCATTTGGAAAAGAGATTGTGTTAAAATTTTAACTTTTTCGATTCCTAAATTTCTCCTTATGCTACAATTACATATTTCAAAATACTTTTCAAGTAAAGAATCAATTGTTCCTTACAATTGCCATTCCTGAAATAATTAAGTAGATCCCTTGTGGCGTTTCACCTTCTTTACAAATGACATCTCCATAGTCAAAGTAGGCAAGTTTGGCTCTTTCCTGAATAAAAATAAAAGAAAGGGAGAGTCAACGCAAAAGCTTCATAGTCTTCTTTTCTAAATAAAAATGATATTTTAAATCTAAAAATGATTTTTAAGTAGAATTAAAAACCCAAACTGTATTCTTGGTTTGTTGATGATGTATAATGTGATGACATACCACATCAACTTTTAGAAATAAAAGGACAAGCAAACAAACTGTAGACTTTGTGATTAGTACCTAGCTCAGTACTGACATAAACACCCAATAAATGTTTATGGAATGAATGAATGAAGTAATGAGTGAAAACTTTTTTTAGCCCCTGTTTAGGGCTTGGGTTATAATGGCAAGGTAAACAAATTACCTGCCTCCAGAAGAACTTTTACTTAGGGTGGGTAGGTATTTGATAATCATGACACAGGAGAGGACAAGGTACTATAGAAAAATGCAGAAAAGACACAGGACCCTGTCTTAGTTGTTCAGTGAAGCCTCAACAGAAGAAGGGACAACTAAGCTGAGATCTGAAAGAAGAGTACCAGACAGCCAGGATAAGATGAGTTGAAGACCATTCAGGGCAGAAGATTCAGTATATGCAATGACCCAGAAGCAAACAGAATGTCTGCAGGTGGGGTAAGTGCAGAAGATTCAGTACGTGTCAGGCAGGGAGGGATGGAGGCCAGGGCTGAGTTACACATTAGGCATTGATAGTGCCTAGGGGTCCACAATACTTTTAGGGACTCACACAATGTTTTAATTTCTTTTAAAATCAGAAGGGGAAAAAAATAAATTTTAGATAGAGAAAAATGTTTTCATATATAATACTAATATATTCATCACTATATTAACACAATCATAAAGTACAATTTTTAAATATATATATATATATATTTTTTTTTTTATGGAGAAAGAGGCCCACTGAGGCAGACGTGGCAAGGGCCCATAAGACTCATAATGCAGCCCTGGTGGAGACAGGGCTGGAGAGGTGAGCCAGACCAGGTCTTGAAGGGTCTCATGAACATACCAAAAGCTAAGGCTTTTCTCAAACCAGTGAGGAGCTACTGAAGGGTTTTTAACAGAAGAGTTATGGTGACAGAATAGCATTTTAGAAAGGTGTGCAGGAGACATATTTCCAAATCATCCATAGTGGTTATCTCTGAGTATGGGGTGGAGGAAACAGCTCTCACTTGTCACTTTATGTATTTCTGAATTGTTTGACAGTCTTGAAATAAGACAGACGATGTCACAATTTAAAAAAAAGAAGAAGCTTACCTAAGACCCTGTCATCCAGCTTATGTATTATTCAGGCCTTGTTTTCTACCATTGTCTTCTGCTTATCTTTATAGACTATTACCTTTTTAATTAATTGCACCAGATGGGGGATGAAAGAAGGGAGGTGTAAAGAAAAGTAACTTTACTATTGTTGCTCCTTTAGAGCTGTGGTGGAGACCAAGATCGAAATTACAGTCTACAATAAGGGGAGTTTGTTTTGTTTTACTATGTGGATTTTAGCTATCTGTGATGAAAATGAGGGGCTATTCCTAATGAGAATTCCACACGCCCATGTGTTCCCAATTCATTACAATTTTTATCCTGGTGAAATCTGACTTAAATGGCTATCAAGAACCAACATATTAAGCAAAAGGGCCACTTAAAGAGTGAGATGTCTAGAAGGGAGTAGAGAAAGTCCAACAGCTCTGCATACGTAGGGCAAGTTAAGCAGGGGAGCACGGTTGTATCTTAGCTACACATTCACTTCAGGTGTTTGTGAGTCATTAATTTATGGAGTTTTCTTCTTCTTCTTGTTTTTACCATTCCTCCCCCTCCCTCACTCACTGCTGGATAGTCAGTTAATCATACTTGTTAAAATTATACCTCTAAAGAACCAAATTCTATTTTAAAATTAGATTTTTAAAAAACTAAACAGGATGCAAATTGTCATAAGCACCTTTTAGGCACCTTCTTTCCAGTCCAAGCCTGCCCCATATCCATTTATTTGAGATCTGTCCTCCAAACTATCCCCAATGGCCCTGTTGGGAAAGTTAAGGTTTATAGTCTTATTCGGGCTTCAGAGACATTGCTAGGCCTCTGACCAAAGAATGACCTGCATAGGCTATGTGCCAGACTCTCAGAAACTGTGTGCAGGCATACAGGATTGGTGTTTAGTGGCCATTAGATAAGAAGGAAAATAAGTCCTGGAGATTCTTGGACCTTGGGAACCTGGCCAGTTCCCAGGGTCAGAGAACCTCCTGAAGTCTTATAAGAGCAAAACATTAACAGAATAACCACAGCTGCATGTTTGCATGCAAACTAATGTTATCAGTCTGCAACTGGGTAACATAAGCAGGATTTCCCCAAATCGTTCTCTGAAGTCTCATCTGTGGAGTGGACGCACTGCAAAGGACAATTCCAACTGGGACTCCAGATTGCTGTTCACGGGACTTCCCAGCACTGTTTGGATCTGGATGTAGGTGTTTCTTCAATTTGGTGATATAAATACTGTTCAATTCTTTTTTAATATTCCTGCATAATCTTGCTTTCTTTGCTTCCTTGCTTATTGCTGTATCTTAATAAATATCATAAACTGGCTTATTAGTGTGATGAGTGGTTTCTTTTACCAACGAATCCTTTGAACCTAAAAGGAATTAAAATAGGCTCCTGCACATGAGGGTTCCTCCTCCTTTTCACAGCCACACGTGTATTCCTCAAGGCCGGACATCTCATTCTAGGTAAGCCAGATGGATTTCTCTCTCAAGAATTTGAACTGAGAGACACAGAGACTGGGAGTTGAGAACTGAATCATCATAGCCAAGCACTAGAGGAAGGGTGCACAAATTTCTACCACTGATATCTCAGAGCTGGCCTGGTTCCCATCTTGCTCAAGATTGGTTAGTGTTATAAACTGAATGATTGTGTTCCCCCAAAATTTATATGTTAAACTCTAACCCCTCAATGTGATGGTATTAGGAGGTGGGGCCTTTGGGAGGTAATTAGGTTATGAGGGTGGATCCCTCATTTTATAGTGCCCTTATAAAAGTCACCTCAGAGAGTTCCCTTGCCCCTTCCCCCATGTGAGAACACAGCAAGAAGAAGACCGTCTATGAATCAGGAAACAGGCCCTCACCAGACCAAATCTGCCCTGACCTTGAACTTCCCTGCCTCCAGAACTGTGAGACATTTTTGTTGTTTACAAGACACCCAGTCTATGGTACTTTGTTACAGCAGCCCAAGCTAAGACAGTCAGCTGTTTCTTAGCTTCTGCATACTACTATAATATCTTTTCAGTAAACTTTCCCTTTGCTTAAACTAGTTTAAATAAGGTTCTATTACTTTCAACCAAAGGAGTCTTAATTTAACTAAGTCTGAAATCAAATTCGAAGGAAAATGTAAAAATTGCTGGCATGAAAAAAACACTAGTATGGCATAAAAGGAATCAGATATTCAAAGTTCAGTAGGACCCCATTATGATTGCTCTCTTTCTAGAAAACAAGGAAAACGTCCCTATTATGAGCAAATAAATGCCTTATATCTCTGTAAGCCAATATCACAAGGTATAGTACAACAAAATTTGTATAAAGCAAGTACCACTCTTTGTCACAGAGTTTCCCTGATTCCAAAAACCTAACAGAGGTATTAACAGGTTAGTGAAAAAGTTATAAGCCTTATAATACAGTAGCTATGTAAAACCAAAGCCACAAATTCGTGGTCCATGGATCACATCCAGTCCATGGATGTATTTGTTCGCCTGCACAGTATTTTTAAATTTTTAAGTTGGTTGCTAAATTTTAAACATTTGGAAATTTTACATAAAAATTCAGATTTATGGCTTCTCTTGGAAAAAATAAGATTTTGCCTCCACATTATTAAATCTAATAGTCATTTTCTGTCTTTATTTTACTTGATCATTCAGTCTCATTTCACAGAGTCGATCACTTTCTCCTTCTTGAAATACTTTCCTCACCGGCTTCTGCGACACCACTCACTTTTAGTTTTCCTCCTGCCTAACAGATTGCTCCTAAATTCCTTTTGCTGACTTCTCCTCATCTCTCCACCTCTAAATGCTGCACAGCCCAGGACTCAATCTTTGGTTAGCTCTCCTATATCCATCCATATTCCTTATCTCATTGAGTCTCATGACCTTAAATATCATCTCTATGCTAACAACTCCAAAATGTCTGCATCCAATCTTGGCCTCCCACCTAAATTCCAGTCCTATATTCAACTGCCTACACAACATCTCCACTTGAATGTCAATAGCTTTCTCAAACTTAACTTACCCAGAATTAAACTCTTCCCCTCCACCATATAATCTTCCCTTTCCCATCTCATCAAATGGCAGCTCCATTCTATTTTCAGACTAAAATCTTTGAAGTCATCCTCTCTCCCTCTAACACTCCTTCCATCAGCATCTATCAGCTCTGCCTTCAACATATATCAAGACTCTGACCACTTCTTACCACTTTCACTTGTCCAAGCCACCATTATCTCTTGCCTCCATTATTGTAATCACCTCCTAACTGGTCTCCCTGCCTAGCCCTTGACCCCTTACAGCCTGTTTTCAACACTGCAGTAGAGTGGTCATTTTATTTATTTATTTATTTATTATATGTAATTTTATTAATATTATTTTTTACATTCCAGAATGTTGTTGCGGAGCAATTGGGAGGAAGGGGGAGAGGGGAAAAGGGGAAGGAAATGTGATGGAAGAAGGAGGGAGGACAAGGGGTGGGACTGAGGCCTGTGGCACCCCCCTCATTCCCACAGGGGCAACTGGGGGGGGGGCAGGCTTCCAGCAGTAGCTTGATCATTGCCAGGCTGGATGTAGATGTCATGGGGGTGTGGCAAAAGCCCTCGCCCCTCACCATCCCAGCTCGGGAACCTGGGGCCCTTCTTGCTGCAGCTTTGTGCTTATCACTGGGCTGGCTGCAGGTGTTGGGGGCGTGGCCGAGGCCCTCAGCCCTAAGTGGTCATTTTTAAATCCTAAGTTAGATCATGTAACTTCTCTGCTCAAAACTTTCCAATCACTTTCCATTCAATCAGAGTAAAAGCCAAAGTCCTTACAATGGCATGCAGAGTTCTACACATTTAGGCTCTCTGCAACTGCTCTGACTTCATCTCCTCCTTCCATCACTGCTCCTGCCACAGGGGCCTTTGTGATGCCCCTTGAATACACAGGCACACTCCACCTCAGGGCCTTGCACTTGCTATTCCCTTTGCCTGGAAAGCTTTTCTCCAAGACATCTACATGTTTGCTCCCTCACTTCTTTCAGATCCCTCTTCAAATGCCCCCTTATTAGAGCAGACTTCCAGCTGCGCCACCACCCTCCCTTTTCTCATCTTGGATTTCTCCGTAGCACTTATTGCCATCTGACAGACTAGATATTTATGTGTCAGTGTGTTTATTGTCCATTTCCATCTATATAATATAAGGTCTGTGAAAGAAGGGACTTCATCTGTTTTGTTCACTGCCATATCCCAAAACCTAAAACAGACTTTGGCGCCTAGAGGATATTTAATATGCATTTGTTGAAAGAGTCCAGATTCCTATAGCAGCATTCAACTGACTTTAGACAGAGCGTGAACTCTTGAGTAGACCACAGTCCTCAATGTTTCCTATTGTACTGCACACAGTTTGTTTTATTTTAAAATTATTTGTCTGGCCTGCATAGTAATTTAACTTTGAGATTCATGCTCTAAAAAATGTCTCTTCCAGCGTATGAATCTGGAAGTTTGGAACTCTACAATATAAAACAGGATGGGAATGGTAATAATCAGGAAACATAGATAGCTCATCCTAAGCAGATAAGCCATTTTGAAAAAAATATCTTTGCCCTTTAGGCTCAAAAAGAAATCTACTCTTCCCCTAGGCTTTTCTGGGCCTCCATTTTGGTTTACCCAGCATTGGCCATTACAGGATTTGTGCTTTGGATACACTTTTTTGTTAATCTTGCATCAGGGAGTGGAAAAAATGGAAAATAACTATCATCAAACCTGAGCCAGAATAGAAGACAATCTTTACCTTGAAGAACTCAATAAGAGCATCTTTATTTTCCAGCCAAATGATGTTATTGAGGTATTTGTCTGGAGTAGGGGGTGGGATTGCCATTGGAAAGTTATTCAGGGCTTTTATTTTTGTAAGAAGTACCTAAAAACAATCAAAAACAATGGTGTTCAGATTTTGTAACAGAAAATGGACACTAGGCAAAAACCAAGAAAATTAACCTCTTATGCAAATCTAACCTTGATTTTTCACTCACAGCCTTTTTTACATCCTCTAACCTTCCTATTCTCCCCTTATTACTATTTTCACTGATTTATTAATTCAGATTGAACCTATTATCTTTATAATCCAGTTATCACTGTATCCTACCTTGTCTTAATCTCAAAATTTCTATATTTCACAATTAATTACTGTATGATTTAATGCCACATTCTCTCAATTTTTTTCACGTGTGTGATTTTTTTCTCTAACTCTTTCTAATTTTGGAGAACACAGTTCCAGCCTTATGGCTTCTAAGAAGCTTTCTCTGGCTTCCCCCACCAAGTAAGAGAAAATCACTTTATCTCCCTTATTCCCATGGCATCACCTATATACAAGTATTTCTGTTATGGAACTTATTACATTATAAAATTATTCTTTTTGCTTGTCTGTCTCACTCTCCATATTATGTAACTTTTGTTGGTTGGATGAATAAATGACTAAATGAAAGAACAAGAAAAAGAGCCCATAGACTTTGGGGTCAGTGTTACATGCATTAAGTAGCCCAATCTCCTCAAGAGTCCAGTGCACTTATTAGGTATCAAACAAATATTTATTCAACTGAATTGAATAGATTTTCCCAGATCACAGATAATTATATCTCTTTCGCTGACAATTAGGCAATTAGTAGACATTCAATAAGTAACTGTTGAATGATTGATTTACCCATCACCTTTCTAAACAAACCTATACAAAAAAAATAAGTCTCTCCTCTTAAGGACTATTATTTATTTATCTTCATTAATATGCATCAAGCATTCAATTGTCTTATACAGCCTTCAAAGTGATGAATGAAAAAATAGAATATAAAATACAATATGTATGGAGGTATAACTTGAAGAATATTATAAAGTAGCCCTTTTCTTCCCTTACACAGATGTTAAAGAGAAATCATATTACTCATTTAGTTCTTTCCTGTGATGTTATAGAGTCTAAAGAGATAGAGAGAGCCTTAAAGAGCAAAGCTGGCCTATCCCATATCCACTTCCCTCCTGGGGCCATGGAGGGTACTATGTCCAGGGAATGACCAGAGGCACAGTGCATGGTGGTCCATGGCTGGGAGCCACCAGTGACAAGGAAGAGCATGTCACATCCACAAACAGCATACCAACAGGCAACACAGACAGAATGTGGGACCAGAACTTCCATTTTTCTGCCGTATGCTGAGAAGCAGACCCTTACATGGAAGTGGAAAGAACTCTCTTATTTTGCAGAAATACAGTCAAGATGATAGATGTGATAAAGTGGTATGATTAAACACAGCTTTTCCCCGCATCTTACATTCCTAATTTGTTTGCAAATACATTTATAATTTTTCAAAAGTCCATATTTTCCCTGCTCCTCTCCTCTCAGAACGGCCTCCTCCCCGAACCCTTCCCTCCACATACACACAGTTAGGTCCCCTCCCCACCATGTTAATATGTGACTCCCATCTCCTCTGCCACAGTCAATGGGACTGGGCAATATACATTCCACCAGTATGGAGAAGCAGAGAAATCTAGTGAGCCTATGCCAAAGTAACGTGCCACAGAGGACAACCCTGATAGGAAATGGAGAATCTAGAAAGCTTTCTAATTCCTTATTCAAGTCCTTTTTTGAGGCCTGGCCACATGGCCTGGCTATTGTGGATTCTGTAAGATATTCTGTGTCCTTTTAATAGATCCCCCAAACCCATTTCTTTACTGAATTTAACTCAGGTTGGTTTCCATTACTTGCAACCAAGTAGTTTTGACTAATGGAGTACCCCAGGTAGCACTAGCATTGGTTGCAACTGTCATTAACATCTGCAGGCAATTACAGAGTTAACGCCTGCAGTTAAACACTCTTTTCCCAGTCTCCCTTGCTCATCACACTCTGCTAAAGCTAACAATGTGGGCTGGGGTGTTGGGTTAATGGAATCAAGCAAAATGGAAAATTGCTTTATTACCTTATTCATCTCAATGCCCTCATATTTATCGATAATGCCTCTTGACCAAAGAAAGGTGAGATTTTTCAGAGCTTTAGCAATCACATTCCGGATTGCCTGCTTAGTCTTCAAAGCAATGACAACATCACGACACTCATGCTCTATGCGTCCTGAGGCAAATAAAACTTAGTAAGCAAGCTATGTAATCACTACAATAATAACTAATATTGTATAGTAGTTTAAAATTTCCAAAGTATTTACACAATATCTTTTCACTCTAGCTTCACACAGAACTCAAGAGGCTGGTTGGACTAGAGTTACTTTCATCTCCATTCTATGGATGAGAAAATTGAAAGCTGCCTTCCCAACTACCTGTGAGAAAATTACTCTTTGCTTTATTCCCATGGCATCTCCTACATATCTCTATTATGGAATTCATTACATTATAGTATTATTATTTTTACTTATCTATCTCATCCTTCATATTGTATAAGTTTTGTTGGTTGGATTAATCAACGACTGAATGAAAGAGTGAAAGAGCCCCTGGATTTTGGCTGGTGGGTCTTTCTGAGATCAAATCATATATTCTTTCCACTTTAATAAGCATGAGAAGTCATAAACTGGACTATGAGTCAAGGCTAGAATTGCATTTGTTTCATCTTTGTAATCCTGACATTGAGCACAATGCCTGACATGAAAGGCACACACGCAGTTTCTAACTGGAATGAGCTGACCAGTACAATGAAGGGTACCAGTGATCAAGAGCATAGGTTTTAGGGTTAGGTACACCTGGGCTAGAGATCTGGCTCACCACTTACTAGCCACATGGCCTCAGGCAAGCTAACCTTTCTAAGCCTCAGCTTCATCATCTGTAAAATGATGAGGGTAACAGTATTTGCCTCAGAGAGTAAGCATAAGAATTAAATGAGATAATATATATATAAAGCAAATGACAGTTTCTGACATAATAAGCCTTCAGTAATCAGTTTCAGTAATCGTATGGAAACAGGCACTCCCTTTTACAGGACTGAATGGAGAAAATGTTGTAATATTTCATGCTGATCTAAAACGTAATACAAAGCAGCAATTCCAAGGCCTCTAATCTTTAAAAGCACAGAAATAAAAAACTGCCAGTATGTAAATAGCAACAATGGGCCCCGGATTTTCTGAGACAGTGCCAAAATATTCTGACCTATTGTTCCCAAACTTATACTTTCATTCTTTAGATGATGTCCTTTCCATTTTGTTTTGGTAAGCATGGTCCCCATCAATCCATATGGCATCTTACAAAGTGGTTTTATTTCCTTTCTGATAACTTCCATTTATTAAGGGCCTACCATATGCTGGGCTGTCTTCCAGATATTTTTGCGTACACTAAGAGCCTGGCCCACAGCTCCCATATGAAGAAAGCAGACCCAAGAAGCTAGGCATAAAATCCTTGGGCTCCTGCTATGTGTTTCAAGTAAAGTGGAGTGACTGCAGATGCTCAAGAAATGATATTCCCTGCAGCCCTACATTCTGTATCCTTGCAGTAAAACAAAACAAAACAAAACCTCTTGTCAAGGGCCAAGCCCATGGCGCACTCGGGAGAGTGCAGTGCTGGGAGCGCAGCGACGCTCCTGCTGTGGGTTCGGATCCCATATAGGAATGGCCAGTGTGCTCACTGGCTGAGCGCGGTGTAGGCGACACCACACCAAGGGTTGCGATCCCCTTACCAGTCACGAAAAGGACAAAAAAAAAAAAAAACCTCTTGTCAAAGATAATCTTCACATATCTCTTACAACCTTAAGGTATTTGACCTTGCCATCTTAATACACTTTCCATATGCCTCCCATTCTTTCCTCTACACTCTCACAGCAACTAACAGGACTCCTGTAACTTTCTGTAATTTTCTGTGGGTAAGCTCATACACTTCATCATACTCTGCACTTTTTAAGGGTCCAAGTTTATCTATCTTTGTTTTCCCATACCTGGCCCATTACATATGTTCAATAAATGCTTGTTGGATGAATAAATGAATGAATGAGTGAGTGAGTGAAAACATTAAGAGGTGGTCTCCCTTCGGTTAAATTATGAGATAATGAGGTGTGATTTCAGGAAATCAGTTACCCCAACTACCTACCCAATTCTTTGACAGCATCTCGTTTGTTGGTATCCAAAATTTCATAAAATTTCTGTAAGAAATTAAGAAAAAACATGCATTTTTTATTACACCACATGCACTTCTGGATTTAAATTCTGAAAAAAGAAGTATGGTAGAAAAATCTGAGATTTAGCAGAGCTATTTGGCTCAGCTCTTCCCTCTGGGATGCAGTGCTGCTGCTTTCCCCATGTTCATACTCAAATTGCAGTGAATGTTGCACCACCAGCAGCTTGCATAACTACTATGCCTAATAGTTCTCAAAAAATATTGGTATGCACTTGTAGGGTAAATGCTGGACATAGCCCTATTCCCCCACCCTGTGCATACCAGAGTTCCCCCTCCCCTCTGGGAAACTACCCCTGGCCAAGGTAGTTACCCAAGGAAAGGCACATCTTCTTTAAGACAAATGGAAGACTGGAGGAAGCAGGGACCCTAAGTAAATGAATTAGCGTGCTGGCGCTAAAACACTCTAGCACCAGGAGAGTAGCAAGTAGAATAGATTAATTTATCTACTCAGCCAGATCTCCCATGTGCTCTGAGTTATGTGAGTTGGGTGAGGGTCTGCACACAAGATTGCAAATGATTTACACCCCTACTTTGATCTGTTCATTATATAACTGTTGTACGTACCCCATGGCGGTGCAGATATCCAACTGGCTGGCTGCCATCAGCAACTCCCGTAAGTGTATTAAACCAATATCTCTACCTATTGATATACTGGGTGAGTGTTTTTGGAATAGGCAAACACTACGCGAGTGCCCTCTCAGATTTGGGGCTCTGTGATACTGCACTCCACTGTGCACGAAGGAGAATTCTCATAGAGCCCAATCTGAGGGTGAACCAACTTGAGTGGCTATTTGAGGTGTCAGTCTATCAGGAGCACAAAAACCAAGTGCAATAATGGAAAAAATATGGTGACAATTAGTTCGTGTTCCCTACAGATGACTCCTTAAACAACTGGAGAAAAAACTCCACTCCAGGTCTAACCAATCCCTGTTCAATCAGTCACTTATCATACGCCCACTATGTTCCAGTCCCTGTTCTTCATGAAGGTTACTCCCTAACTTTGAGTCTTTCTGGAGCTTGCATTGGCCACACCAACAGCCCTGCAACCAAACAACTGGCAGTTCCCCAGGATTGTCAAGTACAGATGTCTGAAATCCTGTACCCAAATAATTCATGGCATAGTTCTGTTTATAGGGAACAACTGGTTTGTTATCTAAAGTTTAAGCAAAGTTAAGTTTTTGTTGTTTTTATTTGTTTTTTGTGTTTTTGTTTGTTTGTTTGTTTTTTGGTTTGGTTTTTTAAAAATCACATCTAATAAATCCCTCACTTTGAATATAAGAATGAGGCATACAATTTTGATTAAATAGTTTCTTCTCACCCAATAATATTGAATTGATATTGGGAAAGTGCCAAATTATTAGCCTGCCCAGGGTACCAACATACTGTGGTCCAGCTCTGCTTATACAGGTACATAGATAGCAGATAAAACCCTTCCTACCAAACTGGATTTATAGCGACACGGTAAGACTACTCTAGAATGACATTGATCAAGAGAGCACAGGAACTGACTCCTACCTACAAAGAGTACAGTCATGAAAGCATGGACGTATATTTATTTCTCCAAAGGTGAGCTGCCGCAGGTCAGTTTCCAGAGCCAAGTCACTTTCAGAATAAATACCAGTGTGATATCAAAACACATCTCAAAAAGCCATTTAAATCTTTAGTGAAGTCATGCTGAACGGGATTCATTTCATCTCTTACATGTCAAGACATCTGCCCTCAAATCTCTGTGTCTTTTCCCAAACTCCTCGAAACACGTTCTTGACACCCCCAATAGCTCTTGTTTCTCTTCTTTCTTTTTCCTGCTTGTGAAATCTTTTCTCCTGTGAATAGCTCTATGTTCTTTCTAACATAGATCCATCTAGGTTTCCAGTAATTCTTTTTATTTCTTCTCCCTTCTTCAAAGTAAATCAGCAGGACAGAATTCTGTTGCACGTTGATGTCTGATCCAATAAAGCTAAGTACCTTCACAGCCTCTTTCCCTCTTTAACTTCAAGAAGGAAAAAGCCTCTCTTTCTTGGCTAAGAGCCTGAGGTAACGAAAGTCATCACAAAAAAACTAGGCACCACGGCCAGAAGACACAACCTTTAGCCCATCCATGGTTAAATATACACACAATCATTGTATCTAGGGCTTTAGTAATCGGGATTTTAGTTCATCATCATGTTAAAAATCAGGCGTCTCACTTGGGTTGAGAAAATACCTTTTAACTCATGATACTGTTCAGTTTAGACCCTCATCTACATGTAGGAAAATGTAACCAAAATCACCAAACACTGGGGAGAAAAAAACTGAATGAAAGACAGGAACTAAACACAACAAATAGGTGAATGAACACCAAGGAAGCAGAATTAACACAGGAAACAAAGAAGCATTTAAAATGAAGAGATTCAGGGCCGACCCCATGGCGCACTCTGGAGAGTGCAGCGCTGGGAGCGCAGCGACGCTCCCTCCGCGGGTTCGGATCCTATATAGGAATGGCCAGTGCACTCACTGGCTGAGCGCGGAGTGGGCGACACCACGCCAGGGGTTGCGATCCCCTTACTGGTCACAAAAAAAAGACAAAAAATAAAAAATAAATAAAATGAAGGTGCACTCACTGGCTGAGCGTGGAGTGGGCGACACCACGCCAAGGGTTGCGATCCCCTTACTGGTCACAAAAAAAAGACAAAAAATAAAAAATAAATAAAATGAAGAGATTCAAGAGAATATCACAGTAACTTTAAAAAATGAAAGGAAACAGTTGCAATGAAAAAAGAAGCAATCACAGATTTGGGAGATCAAAAAGTGCTTTTCAAAAAATTTAAAAAGACCTTTTAGTAGACAGGCTGAACAACAGAATGAACCCAACTAAAGACTGAATTAGTAACCTGAGACACCAAGTTGAAGGTTTCTCATTATAAAGAGCAAAGAGTTGAAAGTTAGGAGAAAAGTTAAAACAGAGACTAAATCCAGATGCTGAAAAATCTGTTTAAAGGGGTGCTGGAAGGAGAAAACACAGAGGGCAGGAAATAAAGAAATCATGGAAGAAAGATGGGGATCTTCAGATTGTAAGCCCCACCAAGTGCTACGTGAGATAAATGGTTTTTTCCTGCCCTCAAGACACATGACAAATATTTTAAAAATCACATCTAAGGGCCGGCCCATGGCTCACTTGCGAGAGAGCGGTGCTGACAACACCAAGTCAGGGGTTAAGATCCCCTTACCCGTCATCTTTAAAAAAAAAAAAAAAAATCACATCTAGACATATCATGGTGAAATTTTAGAACTCCAAGAATAAAGAGAAAATTCTAAAAGCCTCCAAAGAGAGAGAAAAGAAAGTCACCTATTAAAGCAAAAATAAAATCAGAATTAAGGGCTGGACGATTAGCTCAGTTAGAGAATGGTGTTACAACACCAAGGTCAAGGGTTAGGATCCCTGTACCAGCCAGCTGCCAAAAAAAAAAGGAACAATCAGCCTTATCCACAATGCTGAGGACACAGGGGCAATGTCTTCAAGTTCAGAGCAAAGAAAATGGCTTTTGAGAGTGAAACTATTAATTATGAGAGCAAAATATAAATCATTTTGGACATATAAGTTCATGTACCCTACGAAAAAAATTATAGGCATTACCCAGCATAATAAAATGGAAAGTAAAAAGGAGCTCACATGGGATTCAAGAAAGTGGCTGAGGAATCTGACCAAAAGAAAGAGAAGAAAGATAGTTAGAAAAATAATTTGTTAATCCATTTGACTGTTTTATTTAGAAGAGGCTCTCTTATGTAGTAAATGTTAAATGACATCGGATCATATTTCCTTTGTTATGATTGAATCAAATTATAGGTTCTACAGTGACTAATATTTATACAATCATAACAAAATAAAGGTTGTTTTTTGGTTTTCCATTTATAGAATCATTTACTGAAAAGGAAGACGACTTAATTATACTTACAAAATAGAATGTAAATGCTATAAACCTTTTCCCTGTAAAAATAACAGCTCCAAAAATTTAAGACAGGGAGAAAAAAATGTTTAAAGGAGAGGAATGTTCTAAGCTCCTTAAACTTCATAACAGAGAAAATAAAGACTGTTTAGAGGTAATAAATAAAGAATTAAGTACATATGCATAAAATTATTATGGTAAGGAGTAGAGGAATTTAACACAGGAGTGGTTACTAGGGACTGTCTTGCATAGTGGTAGTGTACATAGCTGGCAGGGATAATTTTACTTCTTTCATTATGTTATTTTCAAGTTGTAAAATTATGGGTAATTATTTTGTACTATTTATTTTTTGCTATTTTCTTTTGTGTTCTCTCCTATATTTACATTCAAAGGTCTTACCCTTTAGGCTAGGTGGAGCTGTTGAATATACATAAGCAGAAGTTGCACCTCAAAAAGATTGTGGAAAAATAGAATTAAAAGAAAATACGAATCGTTCCATGAACTTTTTGAAGAACCTGGTACATATGAAATTTAAAATGGCCCTCTTAGGAACATCACTCTCCCACATGGCCCAGCGTGGCCTGGAGTGAGCAGACTGTGCGAGGGAGCCTGGTCAGGAGGTGACTCACTCCGTCTCAGAGCTCACATCTGGTACTTGCTGCATACTGCCTGGAAATGAGGAGGGCATTCAATGAAAAAAAAAATAAATGCTACTACTCACCCGCTCCACAGTACCAGGATTTCAAGTTTTCACTGAGAAATCTTTGTTCTCTTTTCCTCTCTTCCTCTCCACTTCAGATCTACTACCACTTTTTTGAAGCCATGTTCAAGTCTCAATTCCTGCATAAAGCCTTTTCCAAGTGCCCTATCTTACAGAGAGTGTTACAAAGATAGATGGAATCTCTTCTCTACTCTGCACTCAGAAAATAAATCATGTATTTTCTGCTACGAAATAATAAATGAGTTTGATCATAATGGCTGTTCTCTGCAGTACCTCATTTAACACAATAAACAATTGAATTCCCATCAACTGGTGGAATTTATCTGTTTGGTGAAATACATGTAGAAATGGTCTGAAAAGAAATTAATATACCTAATGTTTTTTCCCCCAAATGACCAGTGCTGTTTCTCACCTGATATATTGATTCGCATCCAGAAATTTGTCTTACAAAAAGTTTGGCATCTTCTTGACTTTTGACGTAGCCTTTTGTAATACTATACATCAAGCTGAGGCGCTTTTTGATCTGCCCATCTACAATATTTATCAGTACTGGTATTACTATCTGGAATAACGGGGAGAAGAAAAATCCTGTAAATGTGATGAGGAAAGCAGCCTCTATGGAAGAGGTTCTCACAGTGTCATCTCCAGACCAGCAGCAGCAGCACCCAGAAACTTGTTAGAAACAGAAATTCTCAGCCACCACCCCAGACCTGATGAATCAGACACATGGGTGAAGCCCAGCAATCAGTGTTTGTTGTCCTCCAGCCGAGGACTCAAGTTTGAGATCCACTCTCTAAAGAAACTGATGTTTAATGAATAACTGACTCTGTAGCCTTAGAGGAAAATCTCTAGCCCTGCCTTTCCCTCATTCTCTGTACCCCCAGGTTTCAGAACACATGAATGGTGGTCCCATATCTGAGTCATAGTTACTAAGTAATAAATCTCTCTCTCTCTGCACCTCAGTTTCTTCACTGGTAAGATTTTACAAAATGCAGGGTATCTAAGTTTCTTCTTAGCTCTAAATTTCTCTAATCATAAGCTGAAGCAGGCTATAGTGACTTAAAAAGAGATTTTTTTTTATTTTTGACTCAAAATTGATTATACATATGTTGGGGGTTCAACATTGAGATATGTTAATCAAATCAATATTACTAGCATATATATTGTTACAAATCATAATTATTCCTTATGCCCCTTGTCCAATTTCTCCCAGTCCCCCTCGCCCTCCCTCCTCCCACCACTGATAACCCTAGATTTCTTCTCTCCTTCTGAAAGAGTAATGGTTACTCTGTTGATTTGTTGCTTAGATGATCCGTCCAATGCTGAGAGGTGTGATCAGGTCCCCCAATATTATCATAGAGCAGACGCTTCTTCTGTCACTCTGAAAAGGACTTGGTGGAGAGAGACATCCTCGTCCTTTCTTTATCTCTGCTGGTGACTCTACTTGTGTCAATGCACTCGAGTGGCTGACAGACCATCTGCATGGTGGTTGTGGTATCCAGCTGCTTTTGCAGAAGCCATGGTTATTGTGGTGGCTGTGGTGGGCCACCCACATGGAGGTGATGTTTTTGGCATGCTCCTTGGTACTGGCGGTGTGCCTGGTTGGGGGGGTGTCCTGGTTGTGGAGGGGGGTTCCAGTCCATGGCTCCATACCTCAGGACCCCAGGTCGGCCCTGAAGCACTGGCACAGTGTGCCTGGTTGTGGAAGAGGGGTCCAGTCCCTGGCTCCATACCTCAGGACTCCGGGCAGGCCCTGAGGTGCTGGCACAGTATGCCTGGTTTGGGAGGGAAGTCTGGTCCCTTTCTCTATGCCCTGGGTTCCTGGGCAGGCCCTGAGGCACTGGCACAGTGTGGCTGGTTGTGGGAGGGGGGGTCCGGTCCTCAGCTCCATACCTCGGGACCCCAGGAGGGCCCAAAGGTGCTGGCCTGGTATGCCTGGTTGTGGGAGTGGGGTCCAGTCCCTGGCTCCATACCTTGGGTCCCCAGGTGGGCCCCGAGGTGCTGGCATGGTGTGCCTGGTTGTGGGAGGGGGGTCCAGTCCCCAGCTGCATGCCCCAGTCCCCCAACAGGCCCCAAGGTGCTGGTGATGTGCCTGGATGTGGGAGTGGAGTCCCATCCCCGGTTCCAAGCCTTGGGTTCCCAGGTGGGTCCCAAGGCACTGGTGGTGTGAGTGGGTGTGGGCAGGGGTCCTGTCCCCAGATCCATACCTCATGTCCCCCTGTAAGCCCCAAGGCGCTGGTGGTGTGCCTGGGCCAGAACTAATTTTTTGTCCTTTGCTTACTTCTAAAATGAGAGAAATCCCTGTGAGAACCCCCTGTGAGAACCAGTTCTAGAGCTCTTTGATTGAGCTAAATTGCTGCTTTGCTGTTGTTTTTCTAGGGAAGGCTTGTTGTGCATCTCAGGGTTTAATCATTGACCTTATAGGTACTTCCGGCTCTCCAGAGACTCGGTGCATATGGGTTGTTTAGAAACTCTGATCTGGGCCTGAGTTTTTTCATCAGACTGCACCCCGTGCAATTCTGCATTCCTGACCAGTCACCTCTGAGTGGTCCTGTGCTGATTGGGGGGCGGATCAGATGTCCTTGCTGTGTCCCAGTGTTCTCCTGGTGGTCCTGTCTCCCCCACCTCCTATGCTCCAAACACTTCCCATGGGATGGGTCCTGCACTGGTCCCTTGCATTGACTCACCGGCCTCTGAATGGCTCCCATTTTTCAGCTGTTCTTTCTCCTCACACCTCCATGGGTCCACGGAAACCCTATTAGTGGTCTTGTTGTCCTGGAGGCCACCAAGGTCCTCTTCTCCCCTTCTGAAGGGCATAGCTGTGGCTTCTGCCAGCTCCTGCTCTGTACACTCAGCAGCTCCAGCATTAAAGCAGCCATGGCCCAAAACTCTCAGAGCAGTTTTTTCTTTCACTCATCATGGTTTCTCCTGCCTTCATGAACTCTGTAGGTCTCTCCTCCTCTTCTGCTGAGCTCCAGCATCCCCAGCTTGGCTGATGTTACATTTTTATAGTTGTAAATTGGTGGGAGAGCGTGATGCTGGGGACCATCTATTCTACCACCTTGACTGGAACTCCCAAAAAGAGATTTTAAAAATAAACCTCCCTGAGTTTAAATATCAACTCTCCTTGGTGAAAGATCTCCACAGTGAAAACTACAAAACACTGATGAAAGAAATTAAACAGGATACAAAAAAAATGGAAACACATTCTATGTTCATGGATTGGAAGAATTAATATGGTCAAAATGACCATACTACCCAAAGCAATCTACAGGTTCAATGCAATCCCTAACAAAATACCAATACCACTCTTCACAGAAATAGAAAAAATAATCCTAAAATTCATATGGAACCACAAAAGATCCCAAATGGCCAAAGAAATCCTGAGCAAAAAGAATAAAGCTAGAGGCATTATACTATCTGACTTCAAAATATACTACAAGCTATAGTAACCAAAAGAGCATGGTACTGGCATAAAAACAGACACAGGGGTCAATGGAACATAATAGAGAACCCAGAAATAAATCCACATATTTAAAGTCACCTGATCTTTGCCAACGGTGCCAAGAACATACACTAGGGAAAGGACAGCCTCTTCAATAAGTGGTGCTGGGAAAACTGGATATCCATGTGCAGAAGAATGAAACTAGGCCATATTACCAAATCAACTCAAAATGGATTAAAGACTTAAATGTAAGACCTGAAACTATAAAACTACTAGAAGAAAACATAGGGGAACACTCCAAGACACTGGTCTGGAGAAAAATTTTATGCGGAAGACTTCTATAAGCATAGCTGACAAAAGCAATAATAGACCAATGGGATTACATCAAGCAAAAAAGCTTCTACACAGCAAAAGAAACAATCAACAGAGTGAAGAGGCAAGCTATAGAAAGAGAAAATATTTGCAAACTATTCATCTGACAAGGAAGTAATATCCAGAATATATAAGGCACTTAACTCACTGGCAAAAAAAATATCCAAATAGCTCAATTAAAAATGGGCAAATGAGTTGAATAGGCATTTCTCAAAAGAAGACATACAAATGGCCAGTAAGTACATGAAAAAATGTTCAACATCACTAATCATCAGGGAAATGCAAATCTAAACCATAATGACATATCATCTCACCCCAGTTAGATTGGCTGCTATTAAAAAGACAAAAAATAACATATGCTGACAAGGATGCAGAGAAAGGGGATCTCTTATACACTGTTGGTAGGAACGCAAATTAGTACAACCTTATGGAAAACTGATGGAAGTTTCTCAAAAAACTAAAAGAACAACTACCATATGATCCAGCAGTCCCACTGCTGAGTATTTATGCAAAGGAAAGAAAATTAGCATACTGAAGAGATATCTGCACCCCCATGTTTATTGCAGCACTATTAACAATAGCCAAGATATGGAATCAACCTAGGTGTCCATCAACAGATGAATAGATAAAGAAAATGTGGAATACTACTCAGCCATGAAAAAGAATAAAATCCTGTCATTTGCAACAACATGGATGAGCCTAGAAGACATTACATTAAGTAAAATAATTCAGGCTCAGAAAGATAAATACCACATGTTCTCACTCATGTGGGAGCTAAAAAAAAATAGTAAGTTGAACTTTCAGAAATAAAGAGTAGAATTGCACTAGAGGCTGGGAAGGGGTGGGGAGAGGGGGATAGAGAGAGGCTGGTTAATATACACAAAATTGCAGCTAGATAGAAAAAAATTCTAGTGGTGTACAGTAGTACTAGGCATCTATAATTAGTAATAATTTATTGTATGTTCTCAATGGCTGGAAGAGAAGAGCTCAAATGCTTTCATCATAAAGAAATGATAAATCTTTGCAGTGTTAAAAACGCTACTACCGTGATTTGACCATCACACTTTGTACACATGTATTGAAATATAGCCATGATAATATTCGTTCCTTAAATATACTTCATTGAAATTTGTCAGAGCGTGCTAGACAGAAAGGGCAACTGGTTCAGAACATTGCTGGCCACACTCTGAATAGATTTGGCTTCCACAATAATACATCTTTGAATCTTTATTTCATTTTAAATACTTTTCACAAAGTGTTACTTCTTTTTTTTCTTTTTTTTTTATAAAGATGACCAGTAAGGGGATCTTAACCCTTGATTTGGTGTTGTCAGCACCACGCTCTCCCAAGTGAGCCACAGGCTGGCCCGACAAAGTGTTACTTCTTTTTTTTCTTTTTTTTTTATAAAGATGACCAGTAAGGGGATCTTAACCCTTGATTTGGTGTTGTCAGCACCACGCTCTCCCAAGTGAGCCACAGGCTGGCCCGACAAAGTGTTACTTCTAAAATAATTATTTTACATTCATCTGTATAAGATCTCTATATAAAAACTAATTACCCAAAGAAACCTCTACCTTCCATTTTAAGTCTTAGCTTCACACTACACATTCTGATTTCTAAAGTACTTTGCATTATGGTGGAATTATACCTTACATGAGCACTTCCACTAAATTCAGCTCATAGGGCAAAAAATCATATAGAATCAAAACTATCCCTTAAAGCAGGTTTTGTGTATACAACTTTGTACAGTAATTCTTATAAACACTTAAATTTGGTAACACTAGTATATAATAAAGGAAGGAATAAAAAATGTCTATAAGCACAAGCTGGACATTCAAACAATTCTGTCTTGATGATAACTATTAACACTCAAAGAATGGGGACTAGGTGGAGGATTCTAATGTGTGCATTTTGCCATCAGGGTTTATAGCAATTTTTTTAAAATGTCAAGCCTCGATAACTTCAATACATAATAATAGACTTGTTTGATGTAATAATAATTAAACAAAAAAATGGAGTGGCAAGTAAAATCTAAAGCTCCCAAGTTAAAAGCTTACACAAAGGGCCTTCAAAACGTTTATGAAAATGTACATCATGAAAAACGTATGCATGGATTGCAAAATTTTTTTTGCATAAAAATAAATTCTTACTGTTATAACATGTCTTAACAGAATCTAGTTTGAGGCACTAAGAAGGATAAGACATCAGTTTGAAAAGAGCCCCTATCAGAGCAACATGAATTCTGCTAAAACTGAGGGAAGAATAAACATCATATTTATGGAGAAATGTAGGTGGAAGAATGGTGAAATCATTGATGTTTTATGAAAAATTTATAGGGTCAATGCCCCAAAGAAATTAGCAGTTAACAAATGGATAATTCATATTAAGAAGAAATGAGACAATATGGAAGATGAAGCCCACGGTGGCAGACCATCCACATCAATTTTCAAGGAAAAGATTATTTTGTTTGTGCCTTAATTGAAGAGGACTGATGATTAACAGTAGAAACAACAGCCAACACCATAGACATCTCAACTGGGTCAGCTCACGCAGTTCCGAATGAAAAATTACAGTTAAAAAAACTTCCTACTTGATGGGTGCCAAAACTGTTGCCCCCAGATCAGCTGCAGATAAGAGCAGATCTTTCAATGGAAGTTTTAAACAAGTGGGATCAAGATCCTGAAGCATTTCTTCAAAGAATTATAACAAGATTCCTTCCCCTTTCCCTGTGCCAGCCATACCACTCTCAACAACAACGAAAAAAGAATTGTAACAAGAGATGAAGCATGGCTTTACTGTATGATCAGGAAGACAAAGCACAACCTAAATCAAAGCCATGGCTACCAAGAGGTGAACGTGGTCCAGTCAAAGCAAGAGTGGAACAATTGAGCAAAGGTCATGGCAACAATTTTGGGGGGATGCTCAAGGCATTTTTCTTGTAGACTTTCTGGAGAGCCAAAGAACAATAACATCTGCTTATTGTGAGAGTGTGTGGAGAAAGTTAGCCAGAGCTTTAGCAGAAAAACACCTGGGAAAGCATCACCAGAGAGTCCTCCTCCATCATGACAATGCTCTTGTTCATTCCTCTCATCAAACAAGGACAATTTTGTTAGAGTTTCAATGGGAAATCATTAGGCATCCACCTTACAGTCCTGATTTGGCTCCTTCTGTCTTCTTTTTGGTTCCTAATCTTAAAAAAAAAAAAACATTTAAAAGGCACTCATTTTTCTTCAGTTAGTAATGTAAAAAAGACTGCATTGACATGGTTCAAGTCCCAGGACCACCCCCCACCCCCCAGTTCTTTATGGATGAACTAGAGGTTTGGTTTCATTGCTAACAAAAGCGTCTTGAACTTGATGGAGCTTATGTTGAGAAATAAAGTTAATATTTTTTATTTTTATCTTTTATTTCCATTTTGCCATGAACTTTTTGAAATCCCCTCATACTGAGTACCAAGCGTTGGTCCAGTAGTGCACAAAACAGAAGTTTGAAGTCCCCTTGTGTAACGTAATTTCATTAGAGAGAAAGGCAGCGTATGAGTTGAGACTGAAAATATAAAAACGCACCTTCAAAATCAAAACCAGAGCCATGGAAAGAAGAAATGATAACTGTAAAGATTGAAAGCAGCAGGAAAATTAAATTACCGTAAAGATTGAAAGCAGCAGTAAAATTAAATTACTGCAAAGATTGAAAATTGCAGTAAAATTAAATTCCACAGGCAGTAAGTATTCTATGTGAGCACGGGGCTGTACAGAAAATATGTTTGCTTCTGCACAGTTTGGGCAGTATGAACAAATTTTACCAAAACTTGGAGAAATTGTTTCTGAGTCACCCTGCTTCTAGTGGCACCAAGATTTTTATTAATTTCCTCAGCAACTATGCATTAAGTACTTACTATATACCAGGCACTGTTCTAGGTATTGGACAGTGCATTGGACAAAACAGTCTTTGCTTTTATGGAACTTGCTTTCTGCAAGTGGGGAGAGGTGAGACAATAAATAAAGATATTGATAATTGATCACTTATGTTAACAAAAAATAATAAAGCAGGAAAAGAGTATAGAGTATTGAGAGAAGGTTGCCTTCTAAAATAGGGTAGTCACAACACCCTTTGAAGTAGGGACTGTTTTATTCCCGTTTTGTAGGTAAAGAATCCGAGACACAAATAATTTGCCCAAGATTACAGAGTAAGTGGTACAACTAGAATTCAAACCCAGGCTGCCTAGCTTGAGTCTGCACTGTATTATCTGAAGAAAGTCATTTCTGTTTTAGCTTCATTTGGTCAACTATGACACGCTCATAGAAACATATATCTGGACGTGTAGAAGGCCCTGGAGAGTCTCAGTAAAACTGAATCAGTTGGCAGAGTCTTTTCCTGTCACTTTTTCTTGCCCAGGTTCTTTTGGCTTCCTTCTGATTCGTGAGTATTTGATAGTCCAGGCCCCTCTTTCTTGATACCCCTGCCCCACTTCATGTTCAGAATTCTGTGCTTCTTTATAAGAAACCTCATGTTGTACATTGCTATATTGCACTGTTCACATGTGATGGTCAATATGATCCTGCTATCCCACTCATTGGTATATATGCACAAGAATTGAAATCAGGATTGCAAAGAAATATAGATTCAAAATATCTTAATTGATCTGTAGAATACATTTTTATTTTAAACAGTACCTTCAATGCTGATTCTAATACATACAAAAACATAAAATAATAGTTTAATGATATCAGTGTTGACACATTTAACTCTCTTGCCACTGGCCATAGATGTATTATCATAGGATAAATATACATTAGGGTTATAATATGTCCTGTATATTCAAATTCTTCTGAAAATACAATGTGATATACGTAAATCAAAAATTTATAACTCCTGAAAAAAATGAGATCAAATAAAATGTCAGATCATTTAAAAGTATAACAATTAAGAGCTAAAGTTCTACATTTGTTTAAACAAATCATTAAACTTAATTTGAAAAAGACTACAAACAATATAAAACGATAAGCAGAAATCAAAAGCATGACTTCTATGAATAAAAATCATACTAGAGAAAGATAAAAAATATAATTCTTCTTAATCTATATCAGGGATGGGCAGCATAGCTCTCCATTATTCATAGAAAGAATTCATGCTTCAAATCAAGGCTACAGTGCTTAGGAAACAATGCAAAGATTCATAAAAGCAAGAAATAAATTTAGTGGAAAATGTATTACACATCAGCATTTAAAATTAAGAACAGGAAAAAATATTTTATTCAATAATTACCATGGCATGTATTTCTTAAAACTTTTCAATCCATCTAAAGTAGAGTGTATGAGGGCTGGCCAGTTAGCTCACCTGGCTGAGCATGGTGCTGGAAACACCAAGGTCAGAGCTCAGATCCCCGTAGCAGCCAGCCGCCAAAAAAAACAAAAAATGAAAAATAGAGTCCAACAAAAGGAGGTTCCCTAGATATATGTCAGGACCCTAGGCGGTCAGGGCTCAGATCCCCGTAGCAGCCAGCCGCCAAAAAAACCAAAAAATGAAAAATAGAGTCCAACAAAAGGAGGTTCCCTAGATATATGTCAGGACCCTAGGGCTTAAATTTTTTATATTTCTATTTAAATTTATTAAATGAAAGAAAGTAAAAAATTATCAGAATTTGTTATCAAAGGTTATGTTAACACCCACTTAAAATTTAGCAGCACTGTTGCTCCTGGTATATTTTTGTTTTGACATCTACTGGTAGAACAACCTTGCCTTTGTGGTCTAAAAAGCATGTTAGCTCACAATTTATATAGGTCCACAAAGAGTGGACCCAAGTTAAGTAAAATATATATTTTTGTGATATTTTGGGAAATTGATTATAGATATTACTAAGGCCATGTTACGTTTTTTCCTAACTCTAGACATCAGCAGAACTACCCTATGGCACAGATGAAAGTAAACAGTGCTAGATCTAGTCTACCAGTTAGAAATTTCTTACTCTTGCTCTCTGTTATACTAGAAGAATATGTAAGCAGCCCAGTACAAAATATGACCCGAAGACATGGCAATTAAAACTTGAAGAATCCAAATATGACCTTCCTCTCCTTCTTTCTGCCCACTCTCAAATAGGGGTGTCAATGATGTTGTTAAAACAGAATGGAGGAAGACAGGCAAGCACTCTGCTCGCTCACCACTAGATGGATGAGTCAACCATAATAGTTTTCTTTCTAAGTAAGGCAAATCAAGGTAATCTATTCTGACAATGTAGAAACGGACATATTCTCAATTATATTACTATTAAAGTTTCACAATACTTACCCAGGTGGGATAAAAGGTGCCTTTTCTTTCTTATATTGCAAGAAAGTCAACATGTTTTTAAACTTCCTAAGCCAGCTTCTAGCTGTTACATAAGTTGAAACATCATAAATACTCATGAATCTAGCAGAGAAAAATACAATATGTGTTATGATAAAAAGCAAGTTGCTATACTTTGGGTAATACAAAAGAGCAAGTTATACTAAATGTAACTAAATATGCTCAGCCCCAAGCCTCTACATCCATCCACCTATCCACCCCTGGTTATGGTACATAAACATTTTAAATGTGAGACTCCTACTGCCCCTGTTTCTGGAACAATTCCTGATCTGAGGTAGAACATAAAGTTTCTCTAGACACATTCTGTGAATTCAGAATCAAGCTTCTCTTTGTCATGCCTTGCCTAGCCCAAGTCTCCCCAAGGCCCTGAAGGCCCTAACCTTCCCAAACTTTACCCCAAGGATTGATGGTAAATCTTCCAAATAGATTACCAGGCTGCCAAAATGTTAACTATCACCCAGCCAGGATCTCCTGTCACTGTTGTCCCACAGCTTTGTCTTGGATCCACTATCTAATGTTTGCCAGGACTGTGACCAGATATCAACAATATCTCTAAGACACTGGGCTTTCCCACCAGTCTTTATGACGTCTATCAGGACCAGCAGTTGGATCAATTCCTTCGAGCCTGCTCCTCCCTAGAGGGCAGTCTAATGGTACCTCCTCTATCCAGTTATTTAGTGAAGATGATAAAAAGGCAAAAGAACTATGATAGTAATTAAAGCTATTTAGGTTCTCTTTCATGGATCCCCTAGTCTCTTATCTAATTACATTGCAGTCAGATCTTCTTCCAGAATATCCTGATGTCACCAAGTTATGAAACTTCAGGGGAAAATAATATCGACAAGCAAAACAGAAAGTAGATGAATAGATGGACAGACAGACAGATGGATATAGATAAATAAGATAACAGATTGATCAATTTGGAATATTTAATTCTCATTATCACATATCCATTCAATTTCGTAAATATCAATTAAACAATTGTTATACTCACTTTCCTTGGATGGGGCAATAGCTTTTGGTTGCACCAATTAATATCCGGGCTGCGTCTACTCCAAGTATTCCATCATTACACTGTTTTTCAAAGCTACTCTAAACATACAATTTTTTTAAAATATTACAAAGGCTCAAAACATAAATGCAATATACACTTCTTAACCCTTATATAGCCCTCCTTATTATTACTGAACTCAGTATATGAAAATACACTTTCACAAAAAAATTCTATAAATTTCATTCAGTTCAAATATTTACTGAATATTCATTTTTACAAAGTACAGTCCTGAATGTTATGAGAGACGCGAAGTTCCTAGCTTCAAGAAACTCAAAATACATACAATTCAAAGAGTTTATTTCAGTAATATAAATAGCATCAGTAGCATCATTCTTCTACAACAACAGAGAGAGGCAAAGTTTTGTTTTTGTTTATTTATTCATTTATTTTTGGCAGCTGGCTGGTATGGGGATCTGAACCCATGACCACGGTTTTATAAGGCTGTGCTCTAACCAAGCGAGCTAACCAGCCAGCCCTAAAGAGGCAAAGTATTAATTCAAAGTGTAATTAATTCCTCTCAGCCTCACAGATTACTATCAAAAGAGAAAAACAGACTGTACTCTTGTATCAACTCTTCCCTAAAAACAGGAGAAAAATTACACCCTTTTAGGTGCCACTGACAAACTCAGAGGTTAGAATTACCTCCTGGGACTGCTGCCTAAACTTTGTTTCCCTCATACTGACTATGGGCTCTTGCCTATCCATTGTTTATAAGTATTGTCTCCAACCTCCACTACATTTAGCATATTTTCTCAAGTTTTACAACTCTAAGAATGATAGTTACTACAGGAAAAGAGAAAATTCACACCACTTTAATATCTCAAGACAATGGTCATCCATTCACCAGCTCCTTTTACCTCGAGGAGATAGAGAAATGATCAACCTAAAACAGCCTTAATAAAGCATACGCAAATTCTGAAGCTGCCTTCCAAAAGGTAGAGGGTCAGTGGCTGGGCTATCCTTATTCTAAGGGCCACTGGGACACTTGGTGGACTTCCCCATTTTGTAAACCTCCCTGATGGCCCTTGACAGATATCCACTATAAGAAAGATGTGTCCCAGAGGTTTGGCACTGTGGTATATGTGCAAATATTACACTTGTGTTTCCAGCCTGCTACCCTAAGAAGTAAACCTGCCTCAAGAAAATTATGATTTACTAATATGATGGAATGTTTGTTTACTCATTCATCCTTCAAATAAATATTTATTGAATGACTACTCTGCTGCAAGCCCTGTGCTAGGTCAATGGAAGTATATAATTCAAGGCTTTAAGGAGCTCACAGTCTAGTGGTGGGGGGGAAATATACACATATAATTTTAAAACAGTGTAGGCAATATAAGAGGATAAAATTAAGTGCAGGTCATTAATCAGAGTTGATGTGGAGATGGGATCAGAAAGAAATTCCTGGAGGAGATGGCACCTCAGTTGAATTTTAAGAATGAGCATGATTATCCAGATGAAGAATAGTGTAGGGGGAGCAGAGTGGGGAAGAAGGTGAGCAGAGGGTGGCATCTTCAGTGCATGCACAGAGGCATGAAACGAGATGGTGAATGCAGTAAAAAAACAAGTTGTTGGGCAAAGAATCAGCCAGAGAAACAGGCAGGGGCCAGACTTAAAATGACCTTGTCTATTGTGCTTAGACTTGATCTCATAGGTAAGCTTGTCTTGGAGTGTGAGATGCTCATCCTGTGAGATACTCCTTGAACCCCCATCCCTGAAAAATTGTGCAGGGCAGAGGGAAAGGGAGAAAGAAATGTTGCATTCAATATTCTCTCCTGGAGAAGCTCAATTTATATCAGCATCTTAAAAACTCTGAGGAACCTCTACAAGAAGAAGTTCCATAAGAAACATGTTTAATTTTGTTTAAACCAGTACATCCTAAAGGAATTGGAGCATGGAAATTTTTTTTTTTTTTATGCAGTCCCTCTTAACATCTCACGGAGCAAACATTCTCTGGAACTGACTCATGTAGGACTTTAAGCAGGATGGTGGTATAGACACATGTTTTTCAGTAAGTCACCATGATTTGAGAATGGAAACATTGGAGACAGGGAAACCAGTTGAAGGTTAATATTCAGACAAGAGATTATAATGGCATAAATTAAGATCCTCAGGGGCCGGCCCAGTGGCGCACTGCGCTAGTGCACCGCTTGGGAAGCGCGGAGGCGCTCCCGCCGAGGGTTCGGATCCCACATACAGACCGGTTCCTGCTCACTGGCTGAGCGAGGCATGGGGG